TACTCTCTTCTCTCGCTTCAAGCATAAGTGGAAGGACATCAGTCAAGATGACTACAGCCCTCTCTCAGACCTCCCTCCAAGTTTGTACGAGAAACGAGATGACCTCATCTGTTGCTGGAAACATCATCTGGGCAAGAAGCAGCAGCCACGTGATGATTACCGTGAGGTACTGGAGCTAGCAATCAGGTGTCTCGATGGAGCTCTACCCAAGTTTAATCTCCGACGGCCCGGAGCACTTCACCGAGCACGGTGGATGGCTAAGCTCATTTATGTCATGAAGATCCTGATTTTTGCTAATCAGTTTAAACTAACTGCTTGTGAGACATTAGGCTTGAAACGATTCACATTCTTTGTGCTAGAGGTGTATGTCAGTGCATGGTTCACGGCCTCCGTTCCATCCTCCGCTCCTGCTAATGATTTGCGGCTCCTCCAAGACCTGTCAGAGTACCACGACGTCAAAATATCAAGAACATGTCTCACAGTCTTCGGTCGTCACCTGTGGTACCTCAGTGAAGGCTTGGTGGGTCTTGCACTCTTCGATCCACAAGTTAATGCAACAATGAAGACAAACATAGTTCGGGCAATCGTTGAGAGGAAGGCGACCGAGGATTCACCAAAACGTGCTGCTCTTCCTGCCACATCTTCCCTTCCCACAAAGCAGCTCTCAGACTTTGCTTCTAGAGGATCAAACTTTCTATTTGAAAGTCTCAAAATGAAGACTTCTTTTTTGTCCAAGGAACCTGACACATGGTCTGATGATGAAGACTTCAAAACTGGCGTCGCAGTTGTGGGTGGTCTCAGAGTCATCAACGACACTGCAGAGAGAGGGATTGCCTTGATACAGGCATTCAACAGCAAGATCACGAAGAGTGAAGACCAGCGTCAACATCTGCTGCAGGTTGTTGAAGAGCAGAGGCGGTCACAACCAGGGACATCAAAACAGGACCTTACAAGCAAAAAGCGAAAACAATGAATGGGTTGTCCACACCTCTCCCACCCATTGATGTAAGCGTGTTCACTGCAGTTTCATTTAAAAAAGGAATTAATCATTTATATGTACAGTGTACACATAAACTTGCTCAATATGTAAATTTTAAAATAAACCGGCATATTATGAATATTCGTATTTTTTGCCAAAAGGATAAAACTTCAATTGACTTGAGCTACCTCTAAATATTGTCCAAATGACCCAGGATTTCGCCTGTGTTCTTTTTTCATGGGTACGCAGTATTGGACCAATGGCCATTCCATTTAATCAATTTTAGAAATTCACCCCTATGCACTATTGTCACCCTAATATATATATATATATATATATATATATATATATATATATATATATATATATATATATATATATATATATATATATATATATATATATATATAACGAAGAGGAGAACCAGGGTAAACACAAACATCTCGACCATGTGGGCTTCTTTTAATCGCTAACGTTTCGGAAATAATCGTTTGCCATCATCAGAGCCTAAAAACACAAAAGTTTCGAAAAATTTAAAACAAATACAGGTGATATACAATAAAAACATAATATTATACGAAAATTTACCTTCAATAAACTTAAAAAAATTTAAAAAGAGCAATCCAATTCAAAACCGACAAAAATGACGAGAAATCTACATACAAAGCTAAAATCAGGAATAAAAACTATAAAATCAAATATACAGGGGGGGTATTACCTTAATTCAGACGAGTCTTAGAGAGAAAAACACAACAATTTACTAGAGGCCATATCACAAAGGGATGGCTTTGCTTTATACTGGTGTAATGCCTCCATAATGAGGAGGTCTGTATCACAGTCGCTCCTGCCAAGAACTGAGAAATCAGACGGCAAAAACGGGTGGTCATGTTGGTGGGCGTGGTTACGAATAGCTGAATGTGGTGGTTGTGCGATTAACTGGCCTGTTCGAACGGAACGGCCCAAGTGTTCATGGATGCGAGTTGTCAAATGTCTTTTAGTTTTACCTATATATGCTGCCCTACAGCTAGCACACGTAAATTGATAAACAACTGAGGATTGCAGGTGTGTGGGTATGGTGTCTTTAATTTTAAAGAATTTTTTTAATTGAACTCTGGGTTTTAAAGATTAGTCTAAGAGAAATTTGTGGATAGAATTCATTGAAAAGCTTCTTAAGTTTATTTCTAAGGGTGAAACTGAGTGGGCCTGTGTACGGTATGGTGAGATAGATAGAATATTTAGGGACCGTGTGGATTTGAGGCTGTGTGGGACTAAAAACCTATTAAGGGTTTTGCCCAAATAAGTGTCTGTAAATCTCTTAGGGAAACCATTGTTAAAGAGTAGTTCCTTTATGTATTTTAGTTCAATGTCCAAGTAGAAATAGCTTGAACATATATTAAAGGCTCTGTTGGTAAGAGTACGTACTAGATTACGTTTGTAATTAAGAGGAATAAAAGATGAAAATTTTGAACTCAAACCAGTGAAAGTTGGTTTTCTGTATAAGGCTGTCTCGAAACTATTATGAAGACGGTGGATATTAACATCAAGGAATGGAAGAATATTTTCCTTTTCCAATTCACAAGTAAATTTGATGTTGCCATGTTTCGAATTTAAATAATTTAGGAACATAGGGACGTGATCAAGTGATCTGAAAATTAAAAAAGTGTCATCAACATACCGACGATAGAACAAAGGCTTAAATTGGGGGGGACATTCGGTAAGCCAAAGCTTCTCGTGGTGACAGAGGAAAGCGTTGGCCAACGTGGGACCTAAAGGTGAACCCATAGCAACACCATCACATTGTTTATAAGCTTTGTTATTAAATAAAAACAAACAATCATTTACAGCCAGTTTTAAAAATTCTTTAAATTGTGGTCCATTGAATCCATCAATTATATCAGTATTTGAGAACAGTTCATCTGTACATATGTCAATAGTTTCGGCAAGAGGGATGTTGGTAAATAGAGACTGTATATCAAAGCTAGCCATAACACAGTTGTTGAATGAGATGCTAGTTAGCTCCTTAACAAAACTAAAAGAGTCTTTAACAGAGTATTGATTAATGGTGATTGGTGACAATATGGGAACGAGGAATTTAGACAGATTATAGTTGAAGGTGCCAAGGGCAGACAATATAGGGCGTAAGGGACACTCATCCTTGTGTACCTTTGGTAGACCGTACAGGATACCTGGTTTAGATCCGCTAACAAAGAGTTTTAAAAAGGAGGAGTCGTTAATGACATTAATTTTTTCTAAGTTTACGAAGAAATCTGTTAATCTTGTCCTCATACTTAAGAATTACCCTGAATAAATCGTCTAGAATGGGGGCAAATTTAGTTCGGTCGTTAAGTATATTCATCATTTTCTCAACGTAGGACGTTTTATTGAGTATAACAACCCCATTACCCTTATCTGGTTTAGTGATGATAATATTGTCGTTGGATGCTAAGTTTTTAAGTGCGAGAAATTCTTCCTTAGAAAGAGCTTGTTTGGTGCTGAACGAGTTGTATGAATAATAGGACCAAAACGCTAAGTGGCGGAAAGAGTTTTAAAAATAATGCAAACCTTTTGATACTGGATCATATAAACCACGCTTTCCAACAAGTCTATTGCTGAAGTATATATATATATATATATATATATATATATATATATATATATATGTATATATATATATATATATATATATATATATATATATATATATATATATATATATATATATATATATATATATATATATGCAATAAATCACTGTAGGTGCGTGATCCAGGTATATGCTGATAACCATAAGGAAAAAACACGAAGTTCCCAAGCGCTTTGTGTAATTCACATCTTCAGGTGAGTAAAAACTAAGTAGAAGTTCAG